GTCGTTAGGCATTCGGATAGTTAAATTCAGAAGATTTTTAGACGGATTTTGTACTTTTTGGGGAGTAGTTTTAGGGGGAAACGCATTAAACAAGTTGCAACAGAGGCACCTTAGACAACTTTTTAGAATCGAATGGTTCCACCATGTCCCAAACGTATCGGTCCTTGAAAAAGCTAACTGCGAGAGCGTTGAAGTCATGGTTACAAAATCCCGCTTAAGATGGGCTGGTTACGTATGCAGAATGCAAGAAAACCGCCTACTAAAATCTCCGCTTTACGGAGAGCTTGTAGATGGTGAGAGAAAACCATATACTCATCGAATATTGACATTTTTGATTGTTTTTAATCAAAAAATGTACAAAATATTATACAGGTGCTAAAAATCATAATATTTCTATCCCATTTAGTATTCAAAAAGAAAAATATTTAAATAATTATAAAAGAGTTAAATTATAATTAAAGATATAATTAATTAATTACATTAAACACATTTTACAGTATTAATTAAATATACCACCATTATTTCCGCCCAAATATTAATTAATTACATACTTAATTGTGTTAGTTAATAAATTATTCTAAATAAATATGGATTTGAATCAGAAATCCATATAATAATAAGTTATGAAAATGAACGCATCTGTTGTTAGAAATAAGCATTCGTCAAAAAACGAAATAAAATTTTTATGGTATTACTTTTTACCACACTGTCTAATACACATTAAAAAGCAGATTTTTAGTGTTTGGAGCAATTATTATTAATCAACGAAAGTAGTCGATTATTAACGTAGTTTGAATACTTTAATCATATTAATTGGTCCTCTTTAACAAACATTTAAAAAGTTTTTTTTTATTTTTTAATGAAATAAATCAACTATAACGACAAGATTAGTATCCGTGTTCTTTAAAAATGTGTTAGATCTTTAAAAATAATCTAAAATGTCAATATTCCATAGGTATATTAATAAATGAGATCTAAATTATAAGGAAATGGATTTTCTACGAAAACTTGAAGAAATAGGTAAAAAATGGCATAATACAATTTGATAGACAATTAAAATGTGCATCTGATTCTCATGAAATATACAGGGTGTTCCATTTAAATTAAACAAGTTATTACCGTTTAAAACTGGTAATTATTTAAAATAAATTTTTAGGCACTCTGTATAATGTAGAATAATTTTTATTATTGCAACACAAAATTTAGCAAATAGAAATACTTCAGTACAATATTTGTTGTTAAAAACTTAAATACGCATAGAGAAATGAATCATTAAAATTATTACTGTATTTTGACAGAAACCTAAATATTTCAAAAACGGTCAGATTAAAAAGCGGTAAACCTTAATCAAATTTACCTTTATTTTAATCGTAGAAACTGAAAATGTAATAATATACAGGGTGTTCCATTTTAAAAAAATACAGCTTTGATAGTTTTTATTTATTTGGGACACTCTGTATCTTGTAAAAATATTTTTAAATTGTAGCCCTAGTAGTCCCTTCAGCGAACCCAAAATTTATAATTTGCAAAAATCTAATCGTTTAGCTACGATACTCCGTGTCGTATGTGGTGACCAAACCTGTATAATAAAAAAAAAATTGCGAGTGCACCGCCCACGCAACTTTTTTAAAATCGAAAATTGGTACTTCTAATTTTAGCCGTAAAATAATATCCTTGTTATCGATGGGATGATTCTATATATTGTTATTATAAGCTTTGTTGTTTGTATTTTTAACGTAACGAGTAACAAATTAGTAATTTGTAAACGACCAACTCACAATTGTTTACGAAACAATTTCAGTTAACTCTATACTGATATTCTTTTAATTGGATTTTAGTCGGCATTTGAACGTGTTTTTATTTTTAATTAAAATCCGATTTCGAATAAAGTGAATTTAAAAAACAGTTTGTAAAATTAGAATTTTTTTTTATTATTCATATCATCATACACAGTTCTATTATAACCCCAAATTAGGGTGATGCTATTATTGCGTATTCTTCATTCATTTGTGCCCAGGTGCGAAACTTTCTAAAATATAAAATAATTTTTCTTCTTCTTTTTTAAACATCCTGTATATTATTTTTTGAGTAGAGGGAGAAAAACGTACTACCAAAACCATTAAACATTTTGAAATACTTTAAATATAAAAAATATAATTTTTTAATTCTCCATCTAACAAAAAATTAATATACAGGGTGTTCCATTTAAAAATACGAAAAAAAACTATTTTATTTTTTAAAAAGTTTGGCATAGAATTTTGGACACCGTGTATGGTTTAAAATTACAATATTTGTGTCAAGGCAAGTACAGACCCACTACAGTAAATACTTAATATAGTTTTGATTTTAGGACATTTCTAGTATTTTTAATAATTTTTTTAAAAAAGGCTGAAAAAAATATTTATTTATTTATTTATTAATATCTTTGATTGTCTAAGCTTAATAATATCTTAGGATTATGTAAAGAGATTAAAAAGGAAGCCAAAAATGCAATAATATACAGGGTGTTCCGTTTAAAAAAAAATAATCCCAATCCACTCACACTTTTTTAAGCCACCCTGTAGAAGTTAAACTATTTTCCTGAAATACATCCTAATATATACTTTAGGTTTACACTTTCATTTTCTCTCGTTTTTTTAGGAACAAAATTTCATAACATAAACAAAAAAAACATGACGTTTTTATTATAGGAGCTATATACAGATGCCCGACGCACTATTGCCGGACCCTGTATAAACTTTTTGCCTTAAAAACATATATGAGGAACCACACCATATTTTTTATATACTACTGTATATCTCAAAATAATTTCAGGTGCGAAAAACTTACCGTTGTTGTTGATGCCGTTCAAGAGCGACGCCGCTGACGTAAGGCCGACGCGCGTCCGCCGCAAAATCCACAACATGGCGCGACGACGCTCCGCAAAGCACTGATGCGACGGCGATAAAGCGGACGAGCGTCGCGGCGCCCTGAGGGGTTCAAATGCCGCGACAAATGCGTCCGAGTTGTCGCGTTCGGCGTCGTTGGTTCATGGTTCAAGTTCAAAGGCGAACATCAGGGAGTTGTCGAAAAAAACAACGCCTTGGTGACAGCTAACAAATGAACAAAAAAAAATAAGGAAAAAGTCAAATAGCGTATGATTGAAAGAGAAGTGCGCCAAGTTAAAAATGACGATCGATGACATTTATCAAATAAGAAAAATTTTATATTATAAGTCATTTGTCTGTGGTCATTTCTCTATGGAGAAAAATCATGTTGGGTAGCCATGGAGTAGCCTAGTCGCAATATATTGCAACTCCACGAGTAGCAAGAAAACATCCCCCTTTAGAACATTTTCTGTAATGGCAATGACTCTTAAGTAAAAACTATACTGTGCGAACAAACATTAGAGGCCCTGCTAGTCATTAAAAAGTTAACAAATATTCATTTGTTTTTTAAATATGTCAATATTTTTATTTTGTTGCGTTTTGTGCATTAATTGCCAAACCGATCCTGTCGTATTAAGCCACACCCAAAATTCCAAACACACGTGCTTTGATTAAGGTTTGCAGAGCCATTGCAGAGCTTCAGCATTTGCCATAAAATAGCGAGTAATTTGTTACGAAACCATATGAATTATATATCACTAATCACAAAACTTCAATCTATTTCTGTATTGTAACGGAATTTAAATTATGTCTTTATTTTCGAGAACATTTAGTTCAAACATTAGGAATATTTTGTTGATGTTTGACCATCAAAATCTTAAAAATAAAGTTGTCTAAAAATGTCCTACTATACGGATATAGTATAATCCTTTATCTTAAATTTCCTTCTTCATTTATGTAAAAATACTTAGCCAGTTTTACATAAAATGCTTATTTTGCTACTTTTTCGGACTAGTAAAATGGACTCTTAGATTCTTTAGAATTTTTTACAAAACATTGCAGAAATGGAATATTACTTAAGTTCAAAAAAATTTAAGTGATCAATCCTAGAGTCTGTAAAATAAATATCTTTATTAATGAAAATTACAAAACGTACATAACATACTTAAATATATTTTAAACACAAAATAAATAGAATAACAACTAATATAATAATAATTACATTGACTTTGTCAGGTACACAGAGGACTGTTTTATATAAGCGTCTAACTTAGTTTTAAATAATTCTGATTGGATGGGTTCGTTCAAACTGCACAGTGGATTTTTCACTACATATTCCACAAAAATCTAAAAAAAAAGAAAAAAATTGAGGTAAATTAAAACCTACATACTAATTCTGATGACTTACTTCTTTATATATTTGATGTAACAAGTCTCTCACTCCTTGGGAATGATTATCTGTATTTAAAACAAACTTCAAACCAGATGGGGTCTCTAAATAATGCAAAGTGTACTTTGATGTTTTGTAGTACAAGAAACCTCCCTTAGTATCCAACGGAGAAATCTTATTTACAAACGACTTCAATGAAAATAACATTCCATACATTAATTTAGCTTCCTGAAAATATAACACTATATATAATATAATATACTAGACCTTTTAAATTGTTAATTAAAATATTTCTACCTCTTCTCTAGTCATTCCTGAATTTTTCAACCTATTCCATTCTTGATAAAATAACAGACTGCCTTGTTTATCAAAAATGTATATGTTATGAACAGTCATTTTTATAATATAACTAATATATTCTAATATATTTATTCTTTTTTTCAACAAAATTAAAATTACAACTTTGTTGGGTTAAAATTATGGTTAGTTTGCGATTTTAATAGTATAAGTGGTATAAGTCTTTTATTTGCTTTTATCTATGGTTTGCGATTTTGACATTTCTGAAAAATGTCAGGCCTCAACCTAGTTTCTGGTCTTCTTTTCAAGAATCGACAAATTAAGGCTATAAGGCATATTTATTTCTACTAGTATTATTGGAATATGATTTGGCCGTATAGTCCTGGCAGCTTGAGCCGGAAAACCAATAAAAAAAGAAGAATATGATTGGAAATGAAAATGGCGTTTTTAACATTTCTTGTTTCTTTAGTTTATTGTTGTGAAAATTAAAATAAATACGAAAACATTTCAAATTAAGATCAAGCAGTTATGAAAATTGAATAAAATAACTGTAATTTTCTAAGGTAAATATGCAGAAACGAAAGAAAACAATTTCAAAGAGCAATCAAAGAAAAAGGAAATATAGTAGCAGTTCTGATAGTTCATCTAGTTCTGACTCGGAAAGTGATTGTTCGTCTAGTACCAGCAGTTCTTCTAGTTCATCTGATTTATCAGAACCTTGTTCGAGCTCTAGCAGCACCTCTAGGTAAGCATTATTCAAGATTTTATTGATTCGAGTTACTTATACTCAATATGTTTTTGTAGTAGTTCTAGTTCGAGTAGTAGTAATAGTAGCTCAAGTTCATCATCGACCGATGACAATCGTAGGAGAATGAAGAAAAATAGAGCTCTGCTAAAACGAAAATTAAAAGAGAAACTGAAAGAAAATGACCACGCAAAAAAGAAGAAAGAGAAGAATAAAAATAAGTATTCCGAAAAGGTACCTAGTATTCATTATTCATATATTATAGTTCAACTGATAAATTTACAGTTCTGTTTTTTTTGTGCTTAGACTTCAGACAAAAGTGACAAACATAGCAAGACCAATAAAAAGCTAAAGAAAAATGAGGATAAAGTAGATAATGATATTCCTATTGAGTTAATGGGAAAATCAAAATCAACAGCTAATAGTGTTAGGAGGGTGTACTATGACGACACTGAACAAAGCAAAACCAATAAAAAAGCTAAAGAAAATGAGGACAAAGTAGATAATGAATCAAGCGATATTCCTCTTGAGTTGATGGAAAAATCAAAAACCATGGCTCCCATGCGGAAGGAAGATTGGGAGAAACAACAAAATGTTGTTAGAAGAGTGTTCTGTGAAGATACTGGAAGATACAGGTACTGTATGATTGAAGAGGACCGGCGTCAAAGACAGCTAGGGGATCACAATTTAGGAGAAATGTGGCGAGGCCAGTTTCTAGATGTCATTTACTGAAAATTGACATAAATTTTTTTTTAAGGCTATTAAAGGCAGTTAGTGTCATTAGAAAATATAGAAGAGTAATGGGGGCCAGGTAATGAGCTGTAGGGCTTGACCTCACCAAAATTACCATTGATTGTCATTCCACAGCTATCTTTGACGCCGTTTTTTATTTTAGATTGTATGGTATTTGCTTTGATATAGTATGATCGCAAAAAAAACCGCGTCAGCGATGGCTGTGAAATGAAGATCGCTGTCATTTTATATGTAAATTTATATGGGAAATGTCATCGATTGTCATTTCATAGCCATCGCTGACGCCGTTTTTATTCAGTCATAAGGTATTATTAATCTCTCTGTATTTCTACTTATTTTCAGATTGATTAAAGGAGATGGAGAAGTATTAGAAGAGATAGTGAGCAAAGAGAAACATATAGAGATTAACAAACAGGCTACTAAAGGCGATGGCGAATACTTCCAAAAAAAATTAAAACAAAACATTAAATAGCACAAGAGTTTCCTTTTTTGTATAGAATGTATGCATCTGTTTAAGCTGTATATTAATTTATTTATTATCAAATAACCTTAATTAGTGGCAATCAGCATCAAATAATGAAATCAAAGAGTTCTATGAAGTCAAAGCTCGATCATAAAGGTTTTTGATCATACCGTAGATTGGATGGTATTAATTTTTAAGATCTGAAGCTGATTTTAGATTAATGCAATTTGCTGCTTCAGGTATATTTTCCAAATTTTGCTTGGAATTTTATATTTAACGTATTTTTTAACTGTTATAGGGTAACTTTTTCTAGATAGGTATATTTAATATTTTAGACTGTTATACATATATTTAAACAATAAATACATTTTTATCTTTGTTTAGTTGTTTTACTATTGTAATTTCTTTGTCATTTTTTTTTGTTGATGACACTACACTTTTGATGTCCATTTTTGTTGTTCAAAACATAGATTTCTCTGTAGATTAAGTAATTTGAATCCTCTTCAAAAAAATAATGATTTTCTTAGAGCAGACGGAGATTGTATATTGTTGGTACAGAAGAGAAAATGACAAAGTTCAATAGTAACAAAATGTATTATTTACGTGTATTCTTTGTTTTTTTTTACAGATGGACTTGAACAATTGTGTAATATCACTAGAGTTTATGCACAAAAAAAATGGAGTTGGTCAATTTTTTTTGTAAAAGTATATGATGTTAAAAAATTAAATTCACGAAAATTTGGACTTGGTAACTTTCTCTTGTATACCGACCATACTGGACACCGTTTTTTTTTCGATCACAGTTTCCTTATGAATTATTTTTTAATTTATTTTTCTGATATAAAATTTAAGTAGTGAGTATCCTATTCAACAAATAAATACTGATTTTCTGTGAAGAATTTTGATATGCAGTATCATGAACAAATGGTGAAAAATAAAAAAACACATTTTTCTATAGATTTTGATTCCGCTATAATTTCCTTATGAATTCTTGTTTATTTTTTATATTATACAAAATTTAAGTACATAATTTGAATCATCTTAAAAAATTCTGATTTTCTTCCAGTTAGAAAATTTTGATATACAATTTTATGACAAAATGGTGAATGTGTTTATAAAATCTAATCTTTTGATGTTTAAATAAAATGTATTTATTGGATTAACTAAAAAACATTGCCGATTAATTTAAATGTTGAAGTTCCAACAGAGCCTTTTGCTCAAATTTTATTAGGTAGTAAATTATTCAGAGGTATTTTATAAAATATACTAGCGTGTACACGCGACTTTGTTCGTGTCGAATTAATCATTTGTAATGGTGATGATAAAGCAAAACAAGAATTTCTAAAATTTTATCCACAAACTGGATCAAATTTCTCACATTTATGTCAGCATGAGAAAAAACAATATGGCGATATTACTATATAACTTTTGGTAATATTTGAGGGGTAGTTTCATCTCGTTGGAATGAGACTTTCGAAAAATCCGTTTGCCAAAAATAGGCTTTTTACGTTAAGCAGTTTAAGCAGAATCGTCGTTAATCAATTACCCAACTTTTTGGAACACCCTGTATGATTTTTTAAAAAATTTCAAAATATGTAAAAAAACAAAATAAATTATGCGTGTCCAAGCGTTTTCCCGAAAGAATAACCGTTATTTAAATAACAAATATTGTAATATTTGAGGGGCGTTTTCACCCTCTTGGAATTTGAGAATCGAGAAACTCCTCCTTATCGAACCTCTACACGACCCCACAGTCAATCCGTTTCAAGCAGAATTGTGATTACTCAATGGTCATATTTTATGAAACACCCTGTATAAATTTTTAAAAAATCTTAAAATATGTAAAACCACAAAATAAAATATACGTGTTTTAAGAGTTTTTCCAAAAAACTCACCGGTTTTTAAATAAAAAATATTCTAATATTTGAGGGGTGGTTTCACCCTCTTAGAATTCGAGTTTCGAAAAATCCCTTATCGAACCTCTACACCCTAAAGTCAATCCGTTTTCCAAAAATCAGCTTTTTACGTCAAGCGCTTTAAGCAGGATCGTGATTAATCGCAATGACCAGATTTTTCGAAACACCCTGTGTACATTTTTAAAAAATCTTAAAATATGAAAAAGAACAAATTAAAATATACGTGTTTAAGCGTTTTTTCGGAAACTTGACCGTTTTTTAAATAAAAAATATTGTAATATTTGAGGGGTGGTTTCACCCATATACGTATTACTTTTTACAAATATACTCAGCCTAATCTCCAAAAAGTGAAGCCCAAACAGTGAAAGAACAATATGGAATTCTGCATAAGTCTATTTCACCCGGATATTCATTTAACTGAGCATGCCTCACCTGAAGAAGTTTTCATTGGTCGATGTTTTTAAAGGGAAGTGGTTGACTGACATTTCCCCTAACCTTCAATTTTATTTATATTTTTATTATTTATAACACATTATCATGGAGTTGGAAAAATATCAAAAAATAGTTGGAAACAATAAACTAAACAAAATCACTCTTTTACGCGCACAAACAAAAAGTAATCCAAACAGAACTAAAACAACAATCAATCGGAGTTTGGCGCAATCGCAGTTCAATCCATATCCGGGTGAAATAGACTTATGCAGTTTTAATATGGAGCTGGGTTATGTTGTCTTTTTCTTACGGCACAGAAATTCTACACGGGGTTAAATAGGGAACCCTGAGTATATTTGTAAAAAGTAATACGTATATGGTTTCACCCCCTTGGAACTGGAATTTCGAAAAATCTCTTCTTATCGAACCTGTACACCTTAGAATCAACCTGTATGCCAAAACTGAGCTTCTTACGTTTGAGTGGTTTGAGCAGGATTGTGATTAATCAGTGATCGAGTCACTTAAGGATTTTAGATAATTAGTATAGATTTTTATATGGAAAATGTCATCGATCGTCATTTCCTATAGCCAACTGGACGCTGCGCGCTGGACGCCATTTTTTTCGATTATACGGTATAAGCAATACAAAAAAATATTTTACTCTATTTATTAAAGTACTGTGCAACCAAAAAAAAATGGCATCACAGTAGGTTTTGTAATGGGAAAAGCTGATATAGTTTTTATCGAGCCGAAAAAATAATAAACATTTATTGAGAAAAAAGTAAAAACTTTTAATGAACCGGATGAAAAATTCTATAAGATGAAATTTTACAGGATTTTTATTTTATTGGAACGTCCTTCTACGTTTTCATTTTCCACGATTTTCCCTATGTATAGTTCTAAATTCGTGGTATTCGCCTGCTATCATCATCGAACGATTTTTCTTGGAAATGAACCGAACCCGACGCGACCGTTTTATTTTCCAAGATATAATGGAAGAAAATCTGTTTTCTAAGCACAGACAAAATAAGATTGAGGACGTTGCCCTTCGTAAAGTAATGTAGTTCTTAGTAAAGTTCTCGTCTGAGAAATCCTCACGAAGGCAAAAAATATAATAAGATATTTTTGTAATGTTTTAACATGAGATAGTGTGGATAATTATACAGGGTGGTCCGAATTGTACTCCGGAAACTTCGGCAGCATATTCTGCAGATAAAAATAAGTAAAAAAGTTCGTCTAAAAGTTTCAGAGATTTTTATTTTGATCTTTTTCCAATAATTTCTGACGTAACGTCAATATTTGGATGAAAATTGGTGTCTGGCAGTTCTTTGACATGAGAAATTTGATTTTGATGTCAATATGACTTCTACTTGTAGGTGGCGCCATATACATGAATGTGTTCTAACCTTTGTTCTAACTGTTTTGAAGAGTAATAACTTTTTGTCCGTACCTGTATAAAACTACTGAGTGAAAATATATAGTACATTTCCATGTTCCATGATTTTTTACATAATAAATGTCTCTTGGTAAAGCTCGCTACGAGTAACCGTTCTCAAGATATTTAGCATGGGAATAGTCAATACATGTCTTTATTGACAAGTCTTTATTGACAAAAAATAAACATGTTGAGTAGATATATATCTTAGATTTGAGGCTTGAGTATAGTCATTTGACTGAAATAATAAATTCGGAAAATTTATATATATCTTTTTAAATTCACCATAAATTTTTCTGCGAAGAAATGATGGTAAAACAGTTTCTGTTGAACTTTTGGCACACAAACATTTCAAATTTAAGATTTCAGTCTAATAACTATTTAGTCAACATATTTAATTTATGTCAATGATGACAGGTATTGATAATTTCGATTCAAAATATCTCGAGAACCATTATACTAGTAGCGATTTTTCCCAAGAGACCTTTTCTACGAAAAAAATGCCTTAAATGTATATTTTTTTACTCAGGAGCTATATTGACATCAAATCAAATTTGTCATGTCAGAAAACTCCCAGAAATCCAAATGTTTACGTTACTTCATAAATTATTTGGAAAAAATCGAAATAAAAATGAAACGCACCGTATTTCTGTGCATACGAACTTTTTTATTTATTTTTATCTACAGAATATGCTGCCGACGTTTCCGGAATACAGTTCGGGCCACCCTGTATATCTAAAATTAATATATTTTGTATTCATTCAATTTGTTTAAAGAAATGTGAGAATTTGGTACGGTAAAAATTATCAGTGACGCAAAATTTGTAAATTCTACCAGAAAAAATGATAATACAAGGATAAAATACATATGGTGCAACGGTGTACCATTTAAAAAGTTTGAGATTTTTTGAAATTATTTAATTTTAAATAGTCCAAATTCATGAATATATTTTAAACAACTTATCATCTAATTCAAATATATCTACATTATATCTTTTTCTTTGTCCCTATAGTCCCTGTATATTTTAGTACTCCAACTTCAGAAAAAATAGCATGACTGACAATTTTTTACGACACTGAAATCATGATACAAGAACGGTTAGATAAGATATTACGCATGTAGTGGGCGGAGCTTAACAGAAAATTACTATCCGAGTGACGTCATGCGCGCGGAGAACAGATTTGCGACCGCCAAGGATCTTATCTTCCGTTATTGTATCATGCACTGAAATGTAACATTTCACAAAAACGCGTCCAAATACTTACGTGGATAAGTAAATCACTATGGAAACTGTCGCAAACATATCAACGACTTCCATTTATCTTCTTTTTTTTTTGTTGCACACGCGGTGCTTCTACTCTATCTATCCTTGTCGAGGACCTATCGTTCCCACGCCAAATTAGAACATTTTTTAATTTAGCCACTGCGTACGAATATCAATATTCTTAGGAAACCTAACCAGAAAGTATACCTGTGGTTTAATATAAATAAAAGTACAACTGAATACTTTACTGGCGTATGAAAAGATAATCCGGGGACCTTTATATTAGAACTTTCACAAACTAAACACTTTCTAGTCATTTTTACGAGTATTTAGAAAGT